AGAAATCTTATTTAATATCCAAACTGTTCAATAATTCATAATATATTCCCATATTAAAATTAAATATATCATAAAAACAATAACTGTAAAATTAATTCAACTACAACTGCATTCGAAATATTTGATTTAATATGCACATTATTACACAATTTCTAATAACTTCAAACATTTTTTTTCAATTAAATCAATCATTTCATAATGATGCGTGATCTAGCTCCATTTGCATTAGAAATATCAAATTTAATATTGTCTACTAAAGAGTTCTTAATATTGTAAATAGAGGTATATGTTTATTTAATGTCATTATGAAAATTTAAAGTATGCAACATACGATAATAACTATTTTTTGGATTATCTTTTCTAATAAGATATGCTTAAATCATATTTTGCTTAAGCTACTGTTTTGTGCTGTATATATTTGCTTCCGCATTTCAAAGAATTGTCTGGTATTAACCGAAATTATATAAATTAAACTGACGAAAATTTTAAAATCGGAGGGCTGTTAACCATTTTGTTTCCTATAACAAAACAAAAGTTGTAGTAAACATTTTCAACTTCTCTACCTACATCTGAGTCGCATAATACGAAAAATGTTTTCTTTTGTAATACGTCCACCATATTCTGAAAATACGCTGTTCAAATCTCGGCCTCGTTAACGGATATTCTGATTTAAAGTTCCCATGATTTTCCTCAACATCTCCAATCGAATGCCTAGATAATATGTGCAAATAAGTTGCGACCACTTCCTTCAAAATCTTTACATTCTCACTAAACATTGTCTTCTCATAAAATTAAAATTTAAATAGCATCCACAGCTGAAACAATATCGTTAAACGCCCTAAAACAATCAATGTTCCGATCTCATTAAGCAGACTTTTGGCTAAAATTTAAACCAGGGAATTCTTTACTACAGTGCACTGTAAATACCAGTAGCAATTCTAATGGTGTTGGGGGAATGGTCGCTTTAACACGGATCGCTTTCTTTGTGCTGCCTGCGATGGTACAGGTTACAGAGGACGTCACAGAAGAAGAGAGGGGACAGGAAAACGACAAACTGGATGAGAATGACACGCGAGAACAAAGAACTGCTGAGGTGGGTGGACAGCTTTCTTGCTGCCCCAAATTGTAATTCAACTGAGATATATTTCTTCTTCACTCAGTGAAACATAGAAAGTAGGATCTACATAAAATCGTACATTTCTCTAATAGAAATTTTTCACCACATTTCAGAGAAAATTCATTTAACATTCTCCATTGTTTCCTGCTTAAATATTTATTTTACTTTCCTGTATGTGTTTGCCAAAAGCATGTTTCGTTACATCTTGTATTAATTTTCAGTCTTTCTTTAAAGTAGACTTGTCTTCTTGTATACTTTCCACGTAATTCTGACGTCGATTAAAAGAGGCTTTATCTATAGCCTACAGACCTGACGCTTTAGTAATATCGCCTAAAGTTATCGAGACATATAGATCCACTTTCGCACGCTTTGTTTCTCTTCTAACTTGTGCAATAATTTCCATCCATCTTCTTTCTCCAATTATAGGCTCTGTACGTTTGTTCGGATATGTTTCTGACTTAAATATTTCCAAACCGTCTTTTGTCAAGTGCATTGTATAGCTGAAAAATTCTTCGAGGAATTATTTTCTGGGAGCATGCGACTTGCATGTCCCTTCCTCAATAAATGGTTGAATATAGAAATTTAGTCCTCGTGACCTTAACCAGATTTCAGTAAGACACTCTTTGTATAGTTAACATTCAAGGACACAATCATATACAATCATATATTCCCTATTGTTTATCTCAAGATTTCACTTTCTGAAGAACCTTCAGTGTTACGCTACTTTGAACAGCTGGCGATGAAACTTCTGCATTTAACTATTCACAAATGTAATTTTATAAAATATACATAAAGAAAATTATAGTTAATTCTACTTATATGTCATCAAACTCTATCGTCTACCAACATAATTCCGTTGCTACAGAAATCCAAGGCCTTTATAATCATATAAGACATTTCTTACACTAGGATTTTATAATATTAATGCATGTTCGGTTACAAAGTTACAAATAGACCCTTGAACGCGTAACAGCTGTTATCTTCCATCTATCACTTGGTTATATAGATGACTCAAATCTTCTCTGTCTAAAAAAAAAATATCTCATGAATGTACGAGAAACTGATTACTTGGTAACTGTATTCTTATGCTGGCATTATCTTCTTTCAAATAACTCTCCTATGACGACAATTCATTTTCTTGCTTACGTACCTACATTCGCTGTTTAGGGGTATTTTACGACAAATATCTTGTCAGTCGGAGTGACTACAGTTCTGACGTTGGAATAGATGTTTAGGAGAAGAAGATTAAACCCATAAAGTCTCTCCTCTGCCTCCGAACCTCCTCCTCAGGCTCTGGTTGTTATTGTAACCATCCAACCTAATGTAACAATTTAGTATTGCTTCACAGAGGCAATGAATGACAAATATCAGTTGATCCCAACACAGTAGTTAGCGTTTTTCGTTTCTCTCCGTTTCTGATGTAGTTTATACGCTTTAAAACCGGTTTATAATTCAAAAGTGATCTCTATCCACCGCTGTGTCGTTGTTTGGCATAAATTTAATTAGTAAAATATCATTATACGGCGCCATGGCGGTAAAAGACTGAAAGTTGGTCAACGGGAAAGTATATTCACAAGATAACATAACTACAGGCAGCACATATCATACAATAACGTAGCTGACAAATCTGAAGAGAAAAGACCACGTGGTAAACCCAAGAATATATGTGAGGGTAATATTAAAATGTATATAAAATACATAGGGTGTGAGGATATGGACTGGATCCGACTGGCTCACGATAGGCTTTGACAGTTGGTTTTTATGTACACGGTAACAAAACTTCGAATTAAACGAAAGGTAGAGAGTCATTGGCCATCATCCAAACTCTTACCAGCTTTTCAGTACGGACTGTGTTGTACGGGCAGATAATTTATGAATTTACGTAAATGTGTCGATTTCTTTTAAACTGATATTTCAACTATCTCCCCCGCCAAAGAAAGTTTTTGACACGTTTCTGGTAGTACCACCGTGAACTGTATGGACCATGCTCTGTTGGGACATTGATATGATTTCTCAACACTAAGCACAATCGCTGAAACTAACAAACGCATTACAAGGGGTTGCTATTTACTTCTTGCAGCGAATTTTTGGTGATACATCCAAGTACAAACTCAGCCCGACATTTGGAGTATCTTTCGGACTACCTCAAGGAGGAGGAGGAGGTTATCCTTTGAATCCTTACGGCCCTAACCCAGCTCTTAATCCTTATGGAGGTTCCGTGGGAGGTTTGGGTGGAGTTAATTTAGGATTAGTCAGTGTTAATCCTTTACTCTCAGTTCAGGTAACGCAAGATGAATACGGTGACAAAATTGTAAAACCATTAGTTAATTTACACGTTACGCCAAATCACGGTCTCGTTCATAAAATCGGTGGCTTATTACATGGTTTTCACCACAAACCATATTACCCCGTATATTCGCCATTCAAACACGATCACCAACATCACCACATTCACACATCAAAACCTTACCCCTCATACTATTACCCTCATAAACCGTCGTACTTCTACGGAGGGCAATACAAACCCAGTTACCACTACGCACCGGGGTACTATGGTTACCGAGGTAACGATGAATATACCGGGTCAGGGAGTGGTTATTCCGGTGGATATATTTCTGATGAGGAAGATCAGTATGACAACGGTAATGATTATGTTGATGATCCATATTCATCATATTCACGTCACAGTAGGGGCAACCAAACAACCAGAGACCCGTCCTCAACTTCCTCCTCTTCTGGTACTGGAAGTTCAACAAAGGTGCAGTTCCCAAGTGACAGACGCCATGATGTCAGTACCAGAACCAAACGACAAGTTAACGATGACATAGGCGGACAAAATGAGGTGAACCCGGTTGAGGAGGTAAGATCCAAAAACCGAAACAATTTATGAAACACGTCTCGGAGTAGGGATACGAAAATACATTAGTCCAGTGGTTCTTAACATTAACTTCGTTCGTACCACCTCTCGCTCTTTTGATGTTCGAAAGTCCCCGGTCTCCTCCACTTAGACAGAAAATTGTATTTCGTATCTCAAAAACGTTTATAAAATAACTGCTAGTATTATTGTTGGTTATGTAAACGCCCTTAGTGTCCATAAATGACATTTAAGCTACAGAAAACAAATACAAAGAAAACAATTTTCAGGAAAGCATATAAAGTACAAAAAAGTGAAAGTATTAGCATCAATGTGAAGTATATAATTATGGATGAAATATACAAAAATGGCTTAAACTGGAGAATAAAAAATTATGATAATTTTCGATGACGAACTTCTGGGCTGTGATGCTGTGTGATCTTGTCGCCACACCCTAGAAGATCAACATCATCACAACCGTGAGACCATCAAATCTATCGCGATAATTATTAAGTTAATAACAACAGATAAGATGTCGAAACTGACAGAAAGTGTTTTAATTATTTTGCTATGTTGATGTGAGGGGTACCGTAGGCGATTTACTCTACAAAATGCAGACTTCAGTAAAACATACTTTGAACACTCTGGGGTGTGACCCAGAGTTAGGAATCGAAGCAATGGCGTATTTCACTTATATGTGTGAGACTATTTCATGCACTACAATGAATCCACTGTGTGACCAACTGTCATTTTAGTGACTTTCGTTTGTTTCAGATCATCATAGATTAGATTCCGTTATGATAACTTAAATCCCTAATTTAGAGTGCAGAATTTTGTAAATGACTGCGTTAAAGAATCAGAGGTGATAGAGCTGATTTATTGTAACTGATGCCACACGTCAAAGATATACATACACAAAAGAAGTATCAATATCGAAATATACTTCTTATTTGCAGTACTAGAGATTTTAATGGAATTTCGGGGCAAAATTAATATGAATTCGATTCTGGAAAAATATTTTTGTAAAAGCTAAACAGCTAAAAGTTGTTTCTGTAACAGGCTTTAAAATGCGATTTCCGAAATCCATTGCACATTTTTACTGACTGTTACAAACATTAAGGAATTTTAAATTTTAGTCAGTGTTAATTATAAAGATGCACAAAGCTGACTCCCCTTCTAACTTATACGTCTATGCACTCTGTTCAATGCGGATCGAAGACGAAATGACTCGGCCCGACCAACACAGAAGTTGAAAGACAGTGGGATAATTGATCACAGTTAGAAAATGGGTTGTGTATGTTTCTTTCCAAATTATTTTATGATCTGCTGAAAACTTTATTTTACATTTTGGAATTTTCGAGTAAATAACTACTCAGTCTTAATATGCATATGCTGGTATTTGACATTTACTACAATTTTCTGATTCTGTGTCGAATATGTAAGAATAAATTTAAATTTATTTATAAAGTTAGTCCTATATGTTCACGCTACTTCTCACAGAAATTGGGGTAAATCCATAAATTCGATTTTAATTTTAATTAGTTACGTTTCAGAAAGTTTCCAGTGTCAAATATTTGTAATCATTTAGAGTAACGAAAGAAAACAAAATAGATAATTTGCTTATTTGGATTATTACATCAGAACAGTTTTGTAATTTACATCGACTTAAATAATTTAGAATTTATGATTTAGATTGTTTCTTCTGATAATATGAACTCCCGGACTCTGTTCGATTACATTTTATTCTACTTGCAGTTATCAAACAGTAGGTCAGACATTGTTATTGCAATTTTTTCTTACGAAACGTGTTGAGTTGCTTTCAGGTGTGACGATGACCACAACAACAGAAGGATTCTGCAGATTAAGGACGGATGATAAGACAAAGCAACATTAGAAAATTACACAAACCCTCAAACCCAATTAAAACTAACCTTTGTGACTGGAACTATCATATGGACTCACACACAACGACGTTTCTTAATTTCGACTTTGTAATTTCACAACTTTACACTTCTTTCTGCACAACTGATCTTCGTGTCTGTTTGAATGGGTGGAATATACAGCTTCTATGTCGATAACAAAACCCGCATGCTATTAACTAGAACTTTAGTTTAAATATATTTATCTTCAAATTTTCCTAACCTCTTGGCATAGCATCAATAATTTTGTCTACTCCAAGTAGGCATACTTACATAAAATTAAATCAAACACCTCGAAAAGTAATTATCAAATCCATCGCAGATTTAAATATATGTAAAACACATAAGTTATTCAGTAACTTATATATATCGGTTTTCATCCCTTGACGTTTATACCTAACGCCAAACGTCACTCACCGGACAAAATATGCCAATAGGTTGCGGTAAAATTAATACTGGATATTAGGTAAGTTTGTACTAATTTCATATTAGACCTTTTTTACTTTTTCAGCGTTTGCATTCGATGCCCTGTTTTATGATTACGTCACTCATCACTCATAAAATAAAATATGACGAATAGCTTAAGATAATCGATAAAATGGCTTTGGATGTATTGTACTTCTTGAATTCACTGTTCAGATAAGTTAATATTTGCATCGTCTTCAAAATTCTTATCAGTAGTAAAACATAATACGTTGCTTCCCACTTTACATATACTAAATTAAATCAATATATCGGTGTAGCTAAGAACACCAAATTGATTACAGATACGCTTAAACTGTAAATGTGTTATTTCCAATATACTTAGCTCTGTATAAGATAATTGGCATCTCTTTTTCCTCCTGATATCAGAATATTAATACACAATACATTCACAAACTGATTCCATACTTCTAACATCTTACGAAAATAATCGCATAATGCATGAAAGGTTATTATTGTTAATACTGGGTCTATGGGTAAGTAAAGAAAAATAAATTATGTACTTGCATAAAGTTAAAACAAGCAAATATTTGCATCTTCAATCTGAAAGACGAGAAATACATACAAAACGTTAGTCAAACAACTTGAAAGAAGTATACAACTTCGGAGATCTAAGCATAGATGGAATGATATTAAAATGGATATTAATATGAACTACATCGAACTGCTTTGGAACAGGATTCCTGTTAATAAGTTATTAAACATTCAGATTCCATAAAAGATCCAGTTCAGTAACTGTCATCTTCTCAAACAGGGTTCTGTTGTACAGTTAGCTGGAATTAATGTCAATCATGAAACACGAATCCATAATCCATATCTTGTTTTAAAGGAATTCAGATGAATTAAGACTTAATCTCCAAGGATGTTCCCTGAAAACATCAAAGTGAACAGTTTTTGGTGCAATATATTAACGAAGAACTTAAGTAACTAGTATAGTTAGGATATTGTCAGCTACATGAGCCTAAGATGGGGAAAGCAATGTATAAAGAATTTTAGTCAATAAGCCCACTCGAAAGACAGTGAAGGAGATAAGAGGAAAACATGAGATCTTAGGAAGACTGGAACCGACGCAGGATCATGTCCAATGAAGCCTTTCGTATATACGAACTAATCCACCAACAGGATATTTAAATTATTGTAACCTCTGTTTAGCGCCAAGCGATTTATGGAGGGCGATGTGGCCCACAATACGTGTGCTGTCGGAGACCTTTGCAGCCCAATAGACCCCCTTATCCCCAGGGGAAGGCCCAGTGCGGCAGACGACACGCACAAGGTGTTAATGGTCGCATCAAAAATCCAGTTTATGTTGACGGAGACAGCGAATTTGGTGAGTATACTAACCAGAAGTTTGTGGCAGTAAAAACTGCGATGTTAAAACATGCTTGAACATAAAATTTAATTGTACACTTACGTTGACGGCAGAGTGTGCTTACAGTTTATAGTTTTTCACAGCAACAAAAACACTGAAACACCGCTTCAATAATATTTTATGATCATCCATCACAACATATTTTAACATACTACGTCTCTTAAAAACTTGAATTGGACAAGAAATAAATCTCTTGTAGATTACGCCAATTGCTTCAATTGTTGAATAAGATCGTTTTTGAAGCAGAGAGTGATTTTGAAGGGCTCCGTGAACTGTAATGATGTCAAAGTCGTGGCCACAATTAAATGTCCACACGGCCAGTGACGATGACGCTTAATCGAGGCGAAGCGTGCACACTTAATTAGAAACTTAATTTTATGGCGTAATTTCGAAGTATCGTTCCGAAACGTTAATTTTCGAATGAGAAATAGTAGACTACGTCCTAGTAGGTGCTTTCTGTACACTTCCAACTACCGGGATACGATTACAGAATTATACTGGGCTGTTTCTTACACACTAACAAGTAATAAATAAAGATAAGTTCTGGCTGGACAAACGGGATAATTTTCTGGAATGGGTAGGAATTCTCTTCGCTATCCAGACCGGCTCTGGGGCCAAGGCTATTTTTGGCAGGTATAAAACGGGCGAAGCGTGAAGGTGGCTACTCAACTCCATATCGAGCCGAGGTCAAGACTGAGTAGAGCTTTAACTCCATATCCCTATACACCGCCATGATGTGGTGCTTAGGACATAAAAGTACGTTAACGTTATCCCGATTATCCGGAGCGGACTAACCGGGCTCTACCTGCTTTGAACCAAAGAAAATCTGTCGTGAAAGTTATAAAGTTTGAAAGGGGATAAATCTAACAATGACATTTTATTTAACGTGTTAACATAAACCAATTGCTGATAAAACCCAAAATTTATGGCAAGAGAACATTAAATTATCCGTTGAAATCCTTTTACAAATAGCTGGTATGTACTGTATTAAATTTTATATAAAATCCTTTGTTATTAATAAATCTTTAAAATATTAAGTGGTGTCTGTAAATAAAATTATATATCTGTTACATCTACGTGTTTCTCTTTAATTTCTACGGATTATCCAGAGTTTCGATTAGTCGGGAGAACACATTTCCCAACCAACCCAGATGATTGGGAGTATACTATATCCTAAATGAATAATGCTTCTTATATAATTCAGGTGAATATCCATGGCAGGCCGCCATCCTGAAAAAGGATGTCCAAGAGAGTGTATATGTTTGTGGCGGAACCCTGATTGATAATCTACATGTCGTCACAGCAGCTCATTGCGTCAAAACGTAAGTTCGTTCATCCTTTCGCTTCGTCAAAGTAAATCCCTAAATAGCCTATGTCAAACGCTAACAAATAGAGATGACGAAAGTTTAATAAAATACGAAAAGATAGAAAAGGGCGAAGGAAAAAATTCACAAAAAATAAAGGAAAATAATATAGTAGATAACTAGTAAATATACAAAATCATTCCCTGATTAATTTCAACGTACCTTTCTAGTTGTCACGAATAAATACATTTTCATAGGGGCATGGAGATTTATTTTCCAATGTTGACCAATGTCCATACTGGTTATAGGTACAATGGACAAGATCTGAGGGTTCGTCTGGGTGAATGGGATGTTAACCATGACGTCGAGTTCTACCCATATGAAGAACGAGATGTATCTGCAGTCCACATACATCCTGAGTTCTATGCTGGCACACTATATAATGACATTGCTATCCTGAGACTTGTACAGCCCATAGACACTTTACGTAGTCCTCACATTGCCCCTGCATGTTTACCTGACCCCCACACCGACTACGCTGGTTCCAGATGCTGGACAACTGGATGGGGCAAAGATGCATTTGGAGACTATGGCAAATATCAGAATATACTCAAGGTATGGTTTACTCATTTCACAAACAGTGAATCAAATGAATGTGTAATACTTTCATGTTTGTCAGCCCATATGCATGTTTCACACCTAAAGATACTCAACGAATTTCGGTAAAATGTTGTATTGGATTAGCCTACACTGAAAGGTGATATATAAAATATTATTTTAGACTACATTGGTTCATTACGTTATGTGAAGCACAAGTCAAACTCTAAAATTACTCAGAAATGGCTCAACACAGAAAAAATGTGACGAAATATTTATGTTATTAATGTCTATACCATTCACTGGAAATGTTTTTCGGTATGGTGGACGTTTAATAAAATAAAAAGCAACTTCTATTCAGTTGATTACTGTCAACAATGAATAATTATCAATTATATAATGCATCCAAAATCACACAATTAATTTTTGAAAGAACGTGCCCCAAATTGGAGTACACATTTCTATGGTCAAGGTTCCCGATTTTTTTTAAAGAACCTGGCATGTGAAATTCTTAGGACACAGATCTGATAAGTTCTTTACTTTTTATAAAAATCCAGTACAACACAATGACCACAGAAAAATAAAATTTAAGTATGACTTAAGAGTACTGAAAGAATTAAATTACAAAAATCAGACATCCCAAAAATAAAATGTAACTTTTGGCAAATTAAGCACCTGTTATAATTTCGATGTCTTTGCAAATATTGATTTTTTAAAAGCATCTCTAATTTCTTCACAAAAAAAATCACTAAAATTTATATATAGACTAACTACAAAAGAAGTATATATACTTTATCGAAGTATTTTAACAATACCGAGAGACAAATAGCAGAGTGAGTAGCGGACAAACACCGATTCCAAGTACAGGCAGAAAATTTAATATTAAAATAAGAATTTGAGAACACAAAACATGGTAGTGGGAACATTTAGAATAGACTGAAAATTCCTTAAAGCTTTATAACAACCAAAGAGACACCTTGATGTCAACAGACTATAAATGAACCCGATTTGATGCAGACTAGCGAAAGACACGTTATATTGGATAATGTACTTTATACAGAAGTAAAGTAAAGCTTTCCTACTATACGCCATGTAGGCGCTTGGGGGGAGTGGGGATATAGCTCCTATTCATTCTTGACCTCGGCACTAGATGGGGGTGAGTGGTTAGCGTCACGCCCCGGCCGGCTTTACCCCCGGGAAAGGACCCCGGTACCCATTGTAGAGGAGGCTGGGTGGGCCCCAGAGCCGGTCTGGACGCAGAGGCTAGAGGAAAAATCCTCTGCCTCCGTCGGGGATCGAACCCCGGTCGCAGTCACTATACCGACTGAGCTACGCCGTCTCGTTATACAGAAGTATGACATGAGACTTCACTGAAAATATGCTCTGACCATTGTATATTGCAGGAAGTGGACGTGCCTGTAGTATCGTATCAGCAGTGCCAACTGCAACTGCAACAGACTCGACTGGGGTACGACTACAAACTGCATCCAGGCATGATCTGTGCCGGAGGGGAAGAAGGAAAGGATGCATGCAAGGTAAGTACTCGGACACTCTCGTTTCTGCCAAGAACATTTCCTTTAGATACTGAATCACACATTAACAACTTAAGAGCAGATTATTATTATTATTATTAGTGTTCGGTCTGACGACAGGTCCATATGAACAGGATCCTTCCATCCTTTTCTCGGACTGGGACCTGTTCATATACGTTCTTGGCAGATGATCCAGAAGTGGTTTGCCATTGCCTTCTTCTGTGTGTGAATGGAGTAATTGTTGGGATGCCACGGAGAAACCGGGGAAGCCCCCGGAGGAAAACTCCGTGTTGCCTAGACCACGGCCTTGCCCAACACAAGTTATAAATTCGGGCACCGCCGGGAATCGAATCCGAGACCCCAGGATTACAAGGCCAGCGTTCTAACCGCTAGACCACCGTGGCTAGCAAGAGCAGATTGGATTAGGGAAATGCTACCTATAAATCACTTCAGAATGTTTTATCTTAACTTGTTCTATACAAAAGCCTGAATATTAAAACATACAAAACTGTAAGTTGAGTAGATTCTAAACTTTTATGCTAAATTACTGTAAGTTTTAAGATTTCTTATATCACATATTACACTTCCACACTGGAGTAAAAAAACATGAAAAAAAAACTATACCTTCTACCTACAATTTAGTTAGTCTATATTCTAACTAACTAGATGGCTTATGGAACCCAAAGGTTCATCACCGAACTAACCAAAGCCCTTAAATTTCAGGGTTAATCAAAATTTATCAGGCAATTTTTCAGACTGGGTCCATCCTAAGAGAATGGCCTTAGAAACAAACAATTATCTGAAGCAATTTAATAGTCACCATGACGACAGCTGTTAAAAATCGATGCATGAGTAAATACCAGCCAACATTTTGAAGCCATCCGCATTCTTGTAAAATTTGTATTAAATGTAACTCTACAACAAAAATTCTGGTACTTGTGGGTTATCGGGACACATTCCTTTAAAAATAGGTTAGGTTAGGTTAGGTTAATGTGTGTGGATAAATGACATATACTTGAAAGTTATTATATTTTATTTCAATAAATGACAACTAAACTAACCTAACCTAACCTAACCTAACTTATTTTTAAAGCAATGTGTCCTGATAACCCACAAGTACCAAAATTATAAATATATTAAATAATTTGTGAGACCCAGACACAGCTAAGAAGACAAGACAGATTTAAAATAATAAAATAGTGAAGATGTAAAATTAATTACACCAGCTCAAGGCAATTCAATTGAAAAGTTGTTATAATGATGGTGATAAATATTTCTTTATCATCTGGAATATTATAAATTACTCAATGGATCCCTTTACTATGGCTAACTGAGACTAAGATATGTATGGGAGATAAGAAACATAAGCATTAGAACAGATTCATGAATGAATAGAAGGCAAACATTTAAAGGAAGGAAACTGTAGTGATTAATAATTACAAGAAATCTATAAAAATGAGAAATGCAAGAAGAATATAAAAGATATACAGTCAAAAGAAAAGAAAATGCATAATCTGACTGCCTTGGAACTGAACTAAAAGTTTGAAATAAACTTAAGTTGTTTGTGTTGTCTGAGAAATAAATGTGTTTTTCTTGTGTAGGGTGATGGCGGTGGTCCCATGGTGTGTGAACGTGGCGGTACTTGGCAACTTGTTGGCGTTGTCAGCTGGGGTATAGGATGTGGACAGTATGGTGTTCCGGGGGTCTACGTCAAAGTAGCACACTACTTGGACTGGATCAGACACATTGTTAACAATAGATATTAATGCAGAATGTCTTCACTAACCACACAGTGAAAGAGATTTCAATACAATGAAATGCACTTAAATATGAAAAGTAACTCCAATAACAGGTCTGTAAGATGAGATGGGAAAAATGTAAATGTAATCAAAACTATATTCAAAATTCTTAATTGTTATGAGCAATCAGATTCTGAACCTCACACAATAACATAAGAACACACAATGGATGAATTAAGTTACACGCTGAACATAAAACAAAATTAAAATTAAACTAACAAAATTTTTGAAAGGTTAGGAAAAAGTCCTTCCTCTAGCATCTTACGCAGTAAATACTGACGTTCTCTTT